GCACCCTCCCCCTAGATCCGCCCCTGTGTGTTATGCTTGATATCGTATACTGCATTTGAGAGTACGCGAATTTAGTGCTGTAGCCGTATGTGGCGTTTCGAGATCTTGCGGTGTTGCAGGTTTCGTCCTTCCTCAGTTGCAAAGTTTTGGAGCAGCCGTAGGACAATTTAAACTCGTTTAGACAAGAAAAGACAATTTCATCTGAAAGTTTCAATTGGAAGTGGACTGGTATCATCCCCCCCGCCCCCACCCCCCTTTAACAAAACCACGCTGGATCCGCCCTTGCTTTGGTTTTTCCTTCTCCTTAATAACCAACAAATCCAAATTCCAATTTGATGTAGAAAGTGTTTCCAATTAGTTGGAGACATCTAAGAGGGCCACAGGTCTACTAGCCTGCGAGCAAGCTCTCCTATTGGGGCGAGTGAAGCGAGTGTCGCGAGAACGCGCGAGCGAGCGGCGAAGCCGCGAGGGGCCGGCGAAAGGAGAGCTTGCAACCATCCCTTACAAATTTTCATTTGTACTTCGCCCAGACGAAGGGAAATACCATTGGCTGAAAAATGACGTTCCGGAAATCAAAGTTGATTGATAACAGGCTAAGCTGGCACCCGCTTCGTCTGTGTGTCAAATTTGGTTCTCAGGGGGATCAGATTGGTACCGAGAACTTGTTTCAGCCCCCAAAGCAGACGGGCTCGTTTGATGTAATTCCCGTAACGAGAATATTGCGAGCCGAGGATAAGTCGGATCGAGTTCGTAGTTCTTGCGGAAGGAAATGAAAACCCTTCATCGCTGAGTTGTATTCGTTTGTGTCAAGCACCTTTTTTAGTTGTGAAAACCGGGAGAGTGAAAGTGAAGAGTGATTCAAGTATCGGTTTCTTCGCCCGGTTGAATTCTACTGGGTAGAAAAATTCAGAAACATGTACTTGACAGTGTAGCTGTGTAGCGTGACCGTAAAGAAGGAAAAGAGAAAGAGTTGGAAGCAACTGGAGTAAAACTTAAGAGAACCAAGTGCAGGAAAACGCTATTCTCCAGTTCCAGACGGACAAATATATGATGTTTTTGTTGGTGATTGCGATGGGGAGTAGTCTTCTACACTGCAGTAGGGATGACTTTTCAAAAGTAAACGAAACGAGAATCAAATTAGTGAGTCTTTATCCGAGCGGACACGTTGAAGTGCGATGTCCCCGTGGAAAAAAACATATAAAAACATTGCTTTGATGCTGTTGCGAAAGCGATTTATAAATAAAGAAATAATTCTACGCGTCCTCGGCTGTCTTAACTTACTTGACAGGCGGTTGTCACTTTTCTAATCTGCGGCACGTTTGCGGTGACGGTTTTCACGCTTTGCGGAGTCCCGGGGTTTCCGGGGTGGAAATGAAAATTTATGAGAGATCGTTGCATCCATCCGTTTTAGATACAAAGTTTATATCTTAGCCGAAAGAGAAGTATCCGTACGGTAAAAAGAAGCGGGGCTGCATAGGTCTCCAACCTCTCCCACACCCTGTCTTGATCCACCTTTGCTTCTCCTGTCCCATAGGCATTTTGCTGAAGGATGGACAGTTCGATTTACTAAGGAATGAGGCCAGGCCGACATATTACTAGTCTAACAGAACTTTAATAACATCATTTTAAAAACCAAGGTTACGTACAATGATAAACAGGAAACCTGAAAATGTATCAGCGACTATATGTGCAAATTCTAAAATGACGCTTACTGTAAATCAATGAAAGCATAATCACATTAAGCTAATAACACGCCTATAGGAAAATTTCTTAGTTTATATATCATATGAAGCTGCATGCGTACCTTATGAGCAGTGGTTTAACCACTGCTCGCAGGGAATTGTATGTATGGCTATCTAAATTGATGATATACGTCTATGATCAATTTGTGACAGTGTCGCCATTATGGAATACTTTACAGAGTTCATAGTAAAGCGTCATTTACATATGAACTGTTTTAGTTTGTTTTAATACACATATGACGTTGCTATGTTTACGCAATACTATATAAAGCCACCGTGTCCAAAAAAAAACAATTTTTGGGTAATGTTAGTTTTCATTCGCAAAATGTTAATCAATCCCAAATTGTACTATGCGGTAAAGCTGTAATATATCACATGTAGCTATACTGTATGTACAACTATCTCAAATGTATAAGTACAGTGTCTATCAATTTAACCCAGTCTCCACAATCGCATTGCAGGAGATTTTTAGTTACGCGTTTTCCATATGAACCTTTTAACTTTGGAAATCACAACCAGTTCAAGTACATTATAAAGACATAGTAGTGTCCAAAAAAATTTCTCTTCCTCCCAAAATGAAAATATTATGAAAGTAATACAACAGAAAACCGAAGAGCTGCGAGATTGCTTTGAAGTTTCCTGACCACCGTGAAGCTTTGCCGAAAAAGAAAATAACAACTTCTTTTGAATCCAGACTAAAATCAGCGCTAATAGTGGAAAAAACAACACGTTAAATAGATTAGATAAGCGTACTTAACAGACTATTGTAATTGGTTTTAAGATACTTTTAGCTTCCTGGGTTATTATATTACTAAAGAGGTTTGGGTAGTATAGCAGCATGCAAAATCATCGAGAGATACCAGAAGACTGATGAAGGAGTTAAACACTTCACTACGGCACTCACATACACCAAGCTGAAACCTCCATAGTACTAATGAAGACACTAATGAAGGAGTTAAACATTTAACTACTGTATCCCGCTAAACTACCCAAACATTAAAATGTTTTTAGTTCGCAAAAACCCTGATTGTGCTGGTTGCCAGCTAACAACTTCGCAATCTCAATACATCCTAGCGACTGAAGGTTGTTGAAGCTTAAATCAAAATCCAAAATTCCTTCAACAGAGAAACATTTACTTCGCAGACAAGGATAAGAAAGAAAATTTACAGTTTATGTTCACTGAGTTTACGAGATTTTTACCTTTATCGGTTAAGTTGTTATATTCGAGGTTTACGCTGTTTAGTTCGCAGTTAGTGTGTGCGAGTGCTGTAGATAAATGTTTAACTCCTTCATCAGTTATCTTGTTATACCCGAGGTTTAAGTTGTTTAGTTTGCAGTTAGAGTGTGTGAGTGCTGTAGATAAATGTTTAACTCCTTCATCAGTTATGTTGTTACTCCCGAGGCCTAAGCTGTTTAGTTTGCAGTTAGTGTGTGTGAGTGCTGTAGATAAAAGTTTAACTTCTTCATCAGTTATGTTGTTACTCCCGAGGTCTAAGCTGTTTAGTTTGCAGTTAGTGTGTGTGAGTGCTGTCGATAAATGTTTAACTGCTTCATCAGTTATGTTGTTATTATTGAGGTATAAGGTGTTTAGTTTGCAGTTAGTGTGTATGAGTGCTGTAGATAAATGTTTAACTCCTTTATCAGTTATGATGTTACGACCGAGGTTTAAGCTGTTTAGTTTGCAGTTAGTGTGTGTGAGTGCTGTAGATAAATGTTTAACTGCTTCATCAGTTATTTGGTTCCTCCTGAGGTCTAATCTTTTTAGTTCGCAAAAACCCTGATTGTGTTGGTTGCCAGGCAACAACTTCGCAATCTCAATACATCCTCGCAACGGAAGGTTGTTGAAGCTTAAATCAAAATCCAAAATTCCTTCAACAGATTTAAGTGCATGCACTAATGCTAAACAGTCGAGAGGTGACACGTTACACCAACTAAAATAAAGCGCATTGCAACCAATCTTCTCTAGTTTCTTTTGAACTTCTTGATCAGAGCGTAACAAGAGTATGTACGTTAACTTATCGCAGTGGTGATTTCGAACCAGAAGTGCTCGACCGGTGGTGCAGTCACAAAGTCAAGCAAGGAGACTCAGAAGTAGGTTGAACTAAAATTGAAGAAATCATTGAGTTTTTGAGGGAAGAAGGTCGCTGAAAATATCTGTTGATTGTCCTTTTTCAGCCAGCAGTCCAGCCACAAACTGCATCACTACCAACCACGCGCCATCTTTGATGTGATCGGAAACAAAGTTTCGTAGTTCTTCGGAACTCAACGTGTCTACCAAATACTTCGCCGCCAAGAATTCCTGTACGGTCAGGTGTAAAAAGCAATATTGTTCTCTTCCCTCTGCTAAAGGATGGTCTTTAGTATCAGGTAAACGGTGAAACAGGCCATTACTCTCTAGGTCGTTAACTTCATGTGAGTCAAATATTAATCTTCCCTCTTTGATCCCATCAAAAGCAATTTTTCCCAGATGTGTGAACTCTTTTTGCACAGAGGAGGGCAGTCTCTTAAACGGCTTTAGAAAAAGCGGTCGACCTTTAGTTTTATTGTGGCGATATTGACCATCATCGTAACTAAAGTAAAACATCTTTATTGCAATGGAGTATATTTCTGTCAGTCTTGTCGGGAGGCTGGTTAAGCTAGTGTTGCCAAGCAACTCTAACAAGCACGAACAAATGATGAAACAATTCACAGGAATGTAGCAGAAGGCTAAGAGATTTAAGTTACTTGTGATGTGTTGCTTTATGGTTTGAGCTTTGTCCTCCTGCTTTGTAAACTTCTGTACATAATCATTTACTTGCTCAGTTGAGAATCCCAGGATTTCAACCGTTTTGTCAAAGTCAAGACTTGTCATACATGACACGGCATTGGGTCTTGTAGTCGTTAGGATTGTCGCACCGGTAAGAATTTTTCCCTGTACTATTTTCTTCATAAGGAAAAAAACAGGCATCCTGTCTTCTTCACTGTTTCTGTACGGAATGTCATCTTCATTTGTTTTAGTTCTACCAGAATATTCGTCAAATCCATCAAAAATCACCAGTACTCGCTCTGGGTTGTGGCGGATGTAGCTCCAGAAATCTTCGGAAAGAGCTGTTGAATATTCCGAGTGATCAAGTAGCTCGCGAAGATTTAGTTCTTTTATTGTAGAGTTAAACATCCTCAGCTTAATGAGAAAAGCAGCTTTAAAATCCATTTGTAATTTTTGTGATCCATTCAATAAGTTATCACAAGCCCAGTTGCGAAGAATCTTTGTGCTAAACATAGTTTTTCCAATTCCAGGACGACCAACAACAAGAATCTTCCGCTCTTTAGCATCAAAAATATCTCCTGGCAGTATTGGTCGTAAATTTTCATTGGCTTTGTGGTACTCTTTTAGTTGTTCCACTCTGTCTCCAGAAAAGTCATACTTAGCTCTCCCCCTGTAAACAATCAAATTGGTGAAGATTTCGTCAAGTTTTAGATCTCTTCTAGGTCCTTCGCCTGGATTATGAAAAGGTGATTTAAGATCTCCGTAAGGTTGGTCGGTGACTTCTCGGACATGTTTCTTCGTAAGTTCGATGAAAGGAGCGATTAAGGTTTCCTCGTTTGTTTGAGTGCGGCTGAATAACGAATCAAGAGAAACGTTGCTGGATGAAGCGGTTGATGGTTGCTGTTTGGTTGGATTGTCATCATATTCTTGTTGCTGTGGTTCTGGCGGGGGTTCGAGGCTCAATGGAGCGGTAGATGGTGATGTAGTGTGATTCTCATCATAGTGGGTGATTAACTGTTGTGGTTGCGGTCCTGTCGAAGAAACCCTCATTAGTTAAATAAAAAAAATTGATATTTTATTGATACATTGATGACGAACAGAACAATGATATCATTTTCACCACTGTCCAGATATGCATGTCAAATGTCAAAATATCATTACCGTAAATCCTCTATTAAGCCCCCTGGGGGCGCTTATTCATTTCAAGCCCAATTAATGGGGGTCTTAACAGAGGTGAGAGAGAGCGGCAGAGGGGGGAGTCATAATTAACTTAGAAAAGACGATGGTATCAGCTCTCCATAAAGAACTAGATTGGAGGTTATGCAGCCACGGATCACAATCAAATCCGAACTTCTAGTTGGTAAATACACCATCCCGGATCTGTCCACATGAAGTTTTACAGTCATGATTGATTAATACAGGCTCTCATTTATTAGTGAAGAATAATTAGGGGAGGGGAGGGGCGCTTATTAACTTTCTTCTCCTGAAAAGGGGTGGGGGGGTATTAGACAGTGATTAGAGGGAGGGGGCTTAATAGAGGATTTACGTATGATGCGAGACTATCATGTTAGCTTCTAAATATTGCAAATCACACAAATGGCAGAAATTTTGTGACAACTCCTACTACTCATACGAGTTGCACCGCATTTAGTCTCAACTTAAACAACTGGAACAAGTGGTGAGTATTGGACTGCTGATTTGGGATGGCATGCAACCACAGTGCACCATGTAGCTTATCTGTGACTGTATTATGAAAGAACCCAACAATGGATTCAATAAATCATATGAAATGTGGCAGCACTTTATGAGAGCATGATTACCTTGATAATGAGGCCATGAATGGAAAACACAGGGTTCATTCAAAATGTGTGCTACAAGAGATGCTGCCATCATACTGGCACAGGAAGACCAACTCTCTGAAGCTAACTGAGAACCATCTGCATAGTCAGCTATTCCTTTCACAATTAACCACTCAATTTGACAATCAAATGCTGCTGTAAATACTCCTGTTAAACAACAAAACAAACATTAAATGAGTTTTGGGAAAAGAGCCGTTTCATTAAAGTGTCTTCCTCAGTAAAATAAGATACTTGACGAGACAGTAGGAGGTGTTGGTAGCCATTTTTGTATAATGTAGCGTAATTTAAATTCATCAATAAAGATGAGTGTGGGGGGAAGTGCCTCTCAGGCAGCTGAGTGCAGTGGGTAACCATGACAACCCTGTGAGTGGCAATCAACCAGGCACCATGTCACAGCAAACCAGTGGAGCTTACTTACTGTATAAAGTGGAACCCTGCCTTACGGTCACCTTGGTAATACAGTCACCTTGTTATTATGGCCACTTTTCTCTGGCCTGCCAAAATGGCCATACATTTTCTAATCAAAAACCCTTGTTAATACAGTCACCATTAATGTGCCCAACAGCCACCTTTTAACATCCCAAAGAGTAGCATCTTTTACAATTTCACCCCATTAATACGGTCACTCATCAGAAATTTCGAAAATTAAAATGTCTGTTACATGTCAATTTCATCGACCTAGTAAGCTGAGCTTGTTTTTCTACCGTTTTTAGACTATAGTCACTTAAATGCATTTGTGGCCGATTTTTAAAAGTGTTTTATGTACTGAAGGAGTTCCAATACATTTTTACAATTATGGTACACAATATCTACATAATTCCTGTTGTTACTACAGAGAACACAGTTGTACAAGAAGTGTGAAAGCGATGTATGGTGTGTTTGTCATGACTGTCCTTAAGTCATGAAGTTTGACCCTGCCCTGGTAATACAGCCAAACATTGTTGTTTTGAACCATTGGTGACAGTATTAACGGGATTCCACTGTACTTAACAAAGGGAAGGCAGGGTAAGGAGCAGAACATTTGACAAGTACTAGCAACGTTATTAAACTACATGAATGTAATGGTATGACCTCAACAGAGAAGCTGTGAATTCCCCAGGGTCCCTAAAGAGCCATCTCATTTGAAAAAACAAATTAACTGGCCAGCAATGTCTAGAGTTTATTTTAGCCTAAATTTCATTTAGCTGCGTAATGTTTTAGGCAATATGGCAATTATTGCTCTGGCAAAAACAAGAGGATTTCCCAATGAAAGTAACAGACACGATTTAAAGTGCCAAACTCACGACTTTTTGACGCTTTAAAGGAAACACATTTTTGCTTTCCTAGTATAAGTATGATGCATGCTATTCTGTCTCTTTTCACCGCAGGCAAAGCTTAACCTGGCTCTGTGCACCTGCTTATAAAGACTGGCTGCAAGAAATCAGTCCACCTACCTTCTCCTTCATTTTCCATTGCTACTGCCTGAGGATTGGTTTCAGCAAGTTGATCACGCCGCTGTCCAGAAATGACTTGTTCTGGTCCACTCAGAAACTCAGCAGCAGTATAAACTTGAACTTGTTCAGCATCAGCCGGGTTCTTCAACGGTGCTTGCCAGCCATCAGCACAATTCTTAATGACATTCAGGAAGCGCTTGCTCACATAACTCCTCGTGCCAGTTGACTCTTCTTGATCATGAATCACCACTTTGGATGCATAAGTTGTTAATTTGGCGGAAACAACAATGTCTCCAAGCTTGCATTTCACAGAGTTAAGACCACTACATGCACCAACAGATATAACTGCTTTAGGTCTTAGCACAGTGGCAGCATTCTTTACAGAGATGAGAGAACCACCAGGACCACTTTTGTAGCATCTTAACAATGCAACTTTAACTTGCTCTTGACTTTCACTCACNTTTCCTAGTATTATAAGTATGATGCATGCTGGTTCTGTCTCTTTTCACCGCAGGCAAAGCTTAACCTGGCTCTGTGCACCTGCTTATAAAGACTGGCTGCAAGAAATCAGTCCACCTACCTTCTCCTTCATTTTCCATTGCTACTGCCTGAGGATTGGTTTCAGCAAGTTGATCACGCCGCTGTCCAGAAATGACTTGTTCTGGTCCACTCAGAAACTCAGCAGCAGTGTAAACTTGAACTTGTTCAGCATCAGCCAGGTTCTTCAACGGTGCTTGCCAGCCATCAGCACAATTCTTAATGACATTCAGGAAGCGCTTGCTCACATAACTCCTCGTGCCAGTTGACTCTTCTTGATTATAAATCACCACTTTGGATGCATAAGTTGTTAATTTGGCAGAAACAACAATGTCTCCAAGCTTGCATTTCACAGAGTTAAGACCACTACATGCACCAACAGATATAACTGCTTTAGGTCTTAGCACAGTGGCAGCATTCTTTACAGAGATGAGAGAACCACCAGGACCACTTTTGTAGCATCTTAACAATGCAACTTTAACTTGCTCTTGACTTTCACTCACGTCAGAAAAGTACACATAACCGAGGTCATCAAAATAACATCTATACGGGTTCTTAAGCTCACTGTAACAAGCTAAAAACTCACAATCCTTCACTGTCAGTAACAAAACATCAACAGGGAGATCAGCATGTTTTGAAGGTCTGGTTACTGCCTTAATCTCAGCCAAAGATGGGAGAACTTTATTAAGCTCAGGAGGTCCTCTAATGCACTCTTTTGGAGTCCTTTCTTTCCTTTCTCTCTTTCTTTTCTTTTTTCT